TGCTTTAACTCTAAAAGCTGAAGAAACACCACATTTGCTGAAGGGGAGAAGTTACAAAGAAGGTAGGACATGAGATAGTATGGAGGTGGGAAATAACTGCTTTTCAACAGTCAAAATGCTAGGCTAGATGGCCATCCATTTCCTCCCAGTCTTCCAACATACTGCCTTGAAAAGAAAATGGGAGGTAGTGCTTGACTGAGGGCTGTTAGAGATGTCACTGAACAATCAAACGATACAGCTGAGAATGAAGGTGACTGAAGATTGCTCATAACTGAATGAAGATAGCCTCACATGTTTTCATCTTCACATAGCCAGCTGACAGTTGAATAATCTGTGATGTTCCACAAGGATCCTGGTTAGCAGTTGATTTTAACAGAAAGGATATGTGCAAATAAAACCTCCAGGTTTGTTAGTCTTAGGCAGTCAGCTTTCAATGACTAGATGAGCCAAATGTCACAGAGGGCTGTGATGATTCACTGAATGCAGGGAGAGGTCCTTCATTCATCCTTCTACCCCACAAGTCAGTTTGCTTTGTTATTGATTTTAACATTGCAGGACTATGCCCCTTAAAAATTGTAATGCAAACTGCCTGAAAAGAAGGGATGTGGGGTGACATTCCGTTGCTGTGAAATAAGATAGAAATCTCAGCAAACAGTGATGGAGTTTTGGTCCTCAAAATGCAAACTGTATGTGGATTGCATACTACTGTTTGTGAGAGATAAGGGTGACTCCTCTACCTCCAGCCATATCAGTTTTGTATGCAAGTGTTTTTAAGTCCTCTATCATGAAAGGAATTGATTTAGTATAAGTGTTGCCCTATATTCTTCATGAAAAATTCATTGAGCGATTACCAGGAAAAGTAAGAGGTGTAAGAGGTGCATACTAGCTGCCAGCAATACGCACCAGCAGCTGCAAAATCACATAATGTAATCACAAATGTGATTTTGTTATGAGAGTCAATTTCATTAGCAGTATTTCATAGTCTTCTTGATTAAAAATTTCTTTTTGTTATGATAAGGAGTGATATCCAGCATTGGTGTGAATTGTATTAAAGATTGCATACATTAATGAGATGAGTTACCTGCTGGGGATTTCGTGATCGTAGCTTGCTCTTCAAACATGCTTTATCAAAGGAAGAGGAATTGACAAGATTCTTCTTTTGATAAGAAGTAGGGCTGCTGGAGCTGCCTTGTGCAGCATCACTATGAGCCATAGACAGTGCTTTGGTGAAACAATATGATCACAGAACTATTAGTTCATGCCATACTTCAGCAGCTTTGCAGTGAAGGGAAAAAACAGTAGCAGAAATATTCCCTTGTTTGTAAGCAAATAGTCTGAAGCTCTGACTGCCAAGTCAGAACACTGATCCAAAAGGAGCCGAAGTGGCGAATAGAATAGAATAGAATAGAATAGAATAGAATAGAATAGGTTACTTACCCCAAAGGAGCTGGCTCTCAGCTGGCCTTGGCTTTAGCTTATTGATGGAGATGGTCTCCACTGTGTTTGTCTGGCAAGCCCATTATGCTAAAGTGTTTTCATCCTTTCTCCATGCAATCAGATTTTGCTTTCCCAGGTCTAAATAAAAATAAAAAAAAAAAAAAGAAGAATACTTTGTTATTCTAAAATGCACAAGTGCACAGGAAAGTGCCATATTCCCTGCTTCCAGGAGTCGGTAATTGCTCTTCTGCCCAGTTTAGGATAGCTGGCTCCTCAGCATTTGTGCTAGACTAGGATAGACCTGTGTGCAGGACAATACCTTGTCTACAGTTCTGTCCCCATTAACTGCAAGATTTCTCTACAGGCAGTTGCAAGGTGATGTCACCCCTGCTGGCTGGTCGGCAAAGGGCAAATCCAAATAGCAGGAGGTGACAATCTGCTATGCAGCCTGCACATTGTAGTCTCTGCCATCACACTGGTTTGACTTCTCACTTTCTTGAACCTCTCAGGTGTCGAAACTTGTTCCCTTTGCAGGTCTTCCCTTAACAGTGTTTTGTGCATAGCTTGAAATGGAGGTGGATTTTATTATGATTTCTTGTGAAGTACTTGCAGAAACAACACATTTTCAATTTTAGGAGAGTTTTACTTAGGAGTCCTGAAATTTAATTTCGAAGTTTTCTTTGATTCTTTGATTCTTTGATCTTTTTTCTTTAATAGTGGATTTTTACAAATGTTTCAAAATCAAAATTGTTGTTGAACAAGCTCTACTTAGCAGTTTCTGAAAATATACAAATGGTAAAGATTAATCATAGACTCCTAGAGAGATCTAGTTGGGAATGGACTTCTGGAGGTGTCTAGTCCAATGCCCTGGTCCAAGCGGGACACACCCATCAGGTTACTGAGTGCTTTGTACAGGCAAATTTGGAAAACTTGTGAGGATGGAGACCTCCTGACCTGTCTGAGCCTGGTCCCAGGGCTGCACCACTCTCATGAGGAAGAAGCTTTTCCCCATGTCTAGTGGGAACTCTCTTTGTTGCAGCTTGTGCTTGTTGACTCACTGTGTACCTCTGAGAAACATCTGTCTTCTCTGTAGCTCTCCCATTTAAGCAATGGATGACTGCAACATGACACCCTCCATCTCACCTTTTCTTCTCCAGACTGAACAGACACAGTTCTCTCAGCCTATCTTTGTACATCATGTGCTCCCACTCCCAGACCATGTTTAGTGGACTGGCCCTGCTCTGGACTTGCTCCAGTGTTGGCTTCACTTTTTTATTGGGGGGCCCTCGCACCAGTTACAGTTACAGATACAGATGTGACCTCACTAATGCTCTGTAGAGGAAGCAGTCGCTTTCTTCCAGCAGCTGGCTACACTTCTGCTATGCAGCCCAGGCCGCAGCAGGCCTTCATGGGCAGACCGTTGAATCATGTTTTATGTCCTGTACACCATAGTTCCCATTCTGGCCAGGCATGCCCCAGCTTGCACTGCTGCCTGGGTTTATTCCGTCCCAAGGGCAGAATTTTTCTATTTGCCTTGGTTGAATTCCATTAGTCTGCTATCCATAACTTCTAGGTCACATTTTTTTTTACTCACCTTCACACTGTGGCCTCCCAAAAGGCTGACCTGTCATGATATAGAGGAGATGCTTCTTGTTAATTTGTGGAATTCTGGTAGCCATAAACATTACATACTGTAAGCTCAGTGACTGTGTACTGCACAAACTTAAGTATCTACATAGGTCCTTATTAGGGAAGCAACAGCTGTCTGTCATAGATACATGGCTTGTAGCAGTTTGTTTACATTATATGTGTTTTCTTTCTGTTTTAAAAAGGGCTTGTGTCCTTGCCCTTTCTGCATTAAAGTGCACCTGGCAGATTGTTTTCCAGTTCTTGCTAAACTCCTGAAATTACCATGTACCTGTGATTCCAGTAATTTATCTGCATACTTTTAAGGTATTTTGTAGCAAAGCAGATGCATAGTGAACTGAAGCAAGGGAGCAATACATCTGTCCTCATAATAAAGTATTTAAAGATGCCACCCTTGTTTAAAAGAAATAATTTAGAGAGCAATTATGATTCAAAAGATATTTTTTTCCTCTAAGAAACTGACATTTAAAGCAAGATTTTAAGTGTGTAGAGCTATAATTACAGTCCATGTGGTGGTTTCTGCTCACCAGAAAGAGTCATTTTATCAGAGAATTGTTGAACAGATCTGAAAGATATGAGCTTGATTGTGCTACAAGCACTTCTGGAGGGAATGCTGCACCTGCTAACTAGAAAATGGCAGCTTTTAGAGAAGCTGCTTTTAACATGGCATGATTTGTTTTCCTGCTGTAGCTTTCTGTGTCATCTTAAACTGAGTTTCTTTGCTGACATAGACCAACTCCAGTTTTAACAGAATTGTCTTTGTCTCTGGACACACTTGGAAGAAACAATGGTTTGGAGACAGAAAGTTAGGGAGTAGGACATCAAGCAAGCTGTAAAAACCCTCTAGGCCTCATTTAACACCTTGAAGTGTAGGAGCTGTCCTTTGCTGTTGTTTTTTCTGGCTAAACTCTACACTCTTAAAATAGCCTCTATGACAAGCTAAAGACAGCAGACACTGAAGGGTCATTGCTGGGAAGAGGTGAGTTCAGCTCTACTGTGTACTATATGGCAGTGTGGGTGCTACCCGTCAGAGTGGCAGTGTGCTGGATGGGTTGCTTTTGCAGGAGCAGACAGGGCCGTTACTATGACACTCTTCTCTTCCCTGTGTAATCATGAGCCTTACCTCAAAGAGACAGTATGCTGTGCAGGCAAGCAGGTCATCTAGGAATTAAGTACTTCTGGCATGGAAGTCACAGACTGGTTTCTGCCTGCAAAAAGTCTGCAGAATAGCAGCCTTTGCTCAGTACAGTGCAGGTGAAAGTCTTTCTGCCATTAATCTTGGGAATGGGCTCATCTGAGGAAGCTTTCCCAGCTGAAGCCATCAGGTTCTGCACATAGCCATGTTCTGGGCAGTTGCTGCCAGGGTGGGATGGGTGTGGTCTGTCCTGAGGTCTCCGCAGGGCAGGGCAGGGCAGGGCAGGGCAGGGCAGGTTAGGTTAGGTTAGGTTAGGTTAGGTTTGCTTCAGCTGAGTGAGGCTTATGGCCCCTGCCTATGTGTCTATGAAGAGAGCCTCAGACCTCTGACAGGCCAAAACCAATGATAACTTTTGCTCCAGAAGTAATGATTGGCTGTAATGAAAAGTAAATGTTCACAGGAAAATATTGCGGGGGGACAGGAAAGGGGTTGTCTTCTGGCACTCATCTGCATCAATTCCAGGGTAAGACAGCCTTGCACCTGGATCCAGAGAGCACAGGTGGTGAAAACAAAATACTAGCTTAGGCTGCCTTTGTGTTGGAATGTGCATGGGAGTTTGCAGCTAGCAGTCACTGTCTGTCAGAGTTTGGCCCCTGTCTTGGCCTGTCACCCAGCAACTGCTTGCATTTTGTTCTCCTACATCCTGAAGGAGACCTTGTCATTGTGCTGCTCCCCTCTTCCCTATGCATATGCCTGAACTAATGCTTTGCTTTCCTTGCAGGAGCAGTCAAGGTTTTATGCACATGAAACTGATGAAAACCAAAGAGAAATACATCCTGGGTCAGAACAGCCCTCCCTTCAACAGTGTTCCTGAAGTCATCCACTATTACACCACAAAAAAGCTGCCTATTAAAGGAGCAGAACACTTGTCACTGCTCTACCCTGTGGCTGTGCGGACCCTCTAATGCCCTGGTCTCACCCCTTCCTGTGGATGGGTGGTGAGAGGTAAGCTGGGTTGCACAGAATTCATTGCCAGAATTCAGTGGTTGAGTCTGTGATGGAGAGTGGCAGCCTTTAGTCTTGGGAACGTAGGCGCTCTGCAGAGTTGTGCATGGGACTGTGCTCTTATGCTGCAGCATGCCTCTAGAACTGTGCTTCTACAGAAGAGAAAGAAATCTTATTTTAGTGCAAGGAGAACAGATAACCTTTCCATAGGTTCTCTATGAATGAAAGTACTTCCCAACAAAAGTTCTTCCTCCACATTTTGAGCAGAATCAACAAGTTCTTCTCAGCAGTAGAACACCAGCAACTTTAATTCTCTTGCTACCCTGAGAAACTTATCCATGTGAAAGAGTAACCTGACTCCGAGATACCCTAGGGTGTTCTTGGTGGACCTGAGAAGGAGCTGCTTAGCAGGCAAGTCCCTGTGGCTCTGGTCACTTAGCTTGGTGGGCTTCGGTTTTTTAATGCAGTTTCTTGGGGTAGTCAAATGTTGAATTCCTATTAGGCACACAATCTTAAAATAATTTTGTGAGAGCAAATCATGGTCAATTATTTATGAATAGGGGATGTAATTAAAAAGTAGTTTGTTATATATTTTATCCTTTTTGGTACAATAATATTTCTGTCTTCATTTGCAAGTTTTATTCATAGATGCAGGCAGCTAATTCTGTTTGGGGCAGTTACACCATAATATTTTAAGTAGTTGAGAATGAGTCGTTTTGATGTGTAGGTTAGTATTTATGCATGAGGGTGGTCAAAGGCTTTTATAAAGCTTTAGTAGGCAAAATCTTCACTTGCTCATTCATCTGGATCAAACAGTTGTCCCACTGAAGTAGCAGACTAACAAGTGTGTGTCACACTGCCTTTCCATAAGATGGCTTTTGCAGCTGTGTAAATGAGAACTGCAGTATGTAGCAGAGCAGAGATGGTTTTCTGGTGTACTAAGGCATTCTTAAAACGTGGTCCCTTGACACATACCTTCTGACCAGTGTTCATTTTCACCATAAGCAGAAGCCTCCTGCTGTATTTCAGTCACTGTCAGCCAGAAGGACTGCAGAAGCTGCTCTGTACCTCAGTCCTGCCAACTCAGTGCCCGTCCACTTGAGAGGTATTTTCTACATGCTCTGTGTGCTCATTGAATGGGATAAGTAGAAAAAATATAATTGTGCAGAAATTGGAACTTGGGTATCAATAGCCTGGTAGTCCTTACTTTGTGCCATCTCCCACCTATGTCTAGAATGTTATGCGTTAACCCATCAGCTGTTGTAGTAGCAAACTGGTTATATGCAGTTGATGTATTTTACAGACTGCAATGGGACTGTGAAATTGTGTGTTATTTAATTCAGCTTTCTTGCCTACTATTCCCTTTTATGTATGCTTAGAAACAAGTGCAAATCTGAACACTGTAACAGAATAACCACTTATTGCCTGTAAAATTAGTGCTTCATTGTATTTTCTAATCTGCTAAGAACCTCAAGGATGTCCGATATAATGTCATCGGTGATGAATGTTCTGCATCATTTTAAGCCTTGCCTATGATATCCAACACAGTTTGAACAGGAGTGGATCACACATATGTGAGGAGCCCAGTGTCATTCTGTGCAGCAAGCGTAGTGGGTCAAGCTGTCCCTCTCTCACCCATAATTTGAAGCTGCATTGGACTATGTTCTTACTGGTTTTCTGAGAGAAGGGTGGCACAATGGAGTAGAAAGAGACAACATTGCTCTCCAAGTGAAACCAAACATCCCCTTTTTCATGTACTCACCTACATGGCACCTTTTATTTCCCTAAGGTCTTTGCAGAACTCTTCATCCTCCTCTTAACATCACCCAATTGACAAGAGCATACAGGCACTTTTAAGATAGTGTATTCTTTTCTCACCAGAGTAGGAGTTCATGAAGGTGGCAGATCTCGCAGAGATTAGGAGTCAAATTGCATCTGCTGCTGAGTCTGTGCCTGTGTGGGTTCTGGTGACTCTGTTATGCCCCTTGGGGCAGAAATATGTCATATTTATTCTTTTTTCTTATTGAAGTGCATTTTTGAGAATCTGGCATTGTTGCTGCTCTATGGCCTGTTTTTCTTCTTCTGTAATGGAAAAATAAGCCCCTACTCTCTCTAACATCAATTACCAGTAGAAACCAACATTATCATTAACCAAGGCCTTGCCAGGCTTCCTTAAACACATTGTCTTTAGCTCATGGAGATGACTGTTGTACTGAATCTTTCTTGTCATGGGCCTGATTGAAAGTCAGCTAAAGCCAGCAGGTTCCACTTTATTGGTGTCTGCAGATTTTGATTTGGGATCCCTTGCTTCGTACAAATCAGGTCAATATGCATCATACAAATGTGTATACAGTTTATTACAGCTTCAAGGATCAGATCAGGATTCTTGGTTCAGCAAGAAGAAATCATCTCAGAAAATGTTGGTTGTCTGTGGGAAGGTATTTTTGATTATTTTTTAAAAAGACTTTTAGAAAGTACTCCGTAATTGCAGAATAAATAAAAACCAGGATTTTGTTTGCACTTTAATGTTGTCTTTGTTTATTTAAGTGGTTGTATGATATTTTTCCAGTAAAGGAATATTCTTCCCAGACTTTTAATGTACAGTGAAAATACAGTGTGTTGCAGTATGTAGTGTTGCGTATAGGTGGAAGATCTCATAGCGATCGTGCCTATATAGCATATTAAAAGTTTATTTAAAAAAAAACTATGAACCTCTCCCTTTTATTCCTCTAATTGTCAATGTGTACTAGGATTGTCTTGAACAGCTAATAGCTGAAGCGGCCTTTCAGAACAACTTGTGTTTGTGTGTCTTAGCTGTGTAGTGAAAGTAATCATTAGGCTATAATCTGGTTCGGAGTCTGGAAAATCAGTTCTGCCCTGAGTAATTCTCTTGACAATATGCACCTTTGCAAGGGCTGTGCCAAAACAAAACAACACATGTGTGTGTGTGAATGACATTGCTGTACAATTTCTTGAGGTGCTCAAGGAATCCAGTTATTGCTGTTTACAGTGTAACACTGGTGAATCACTTTTTGCAGACTTTATAAGAGGTGTTAATTAGACTTCTATTTTGATGAGTATTTCACAGAATGATGAAAGCTCCCGAGCTGTGAACATCTGTATGATGGGTAGGAGAGTTTTAGTGGCCAAGATTACATCTCACTACTTCCTATAACTGGAAAAATCATTAAGCTTTGTGGAAGTACAGTCATCACCATGGGTTCTCTGCTTGATAATTGTTTATTTTCTGACTCTGAAATTAAGTCTTTAGAGCCAGGATGCAAAGTCCAGGGATCTCTTAAGTGCAAAGGTACAAAACACACATTTCCAGCTTCTCAAAGAACATGGCCTGCGTCTCTGCACTGAGGAAAACTGGTTGCTACTTGGAGGATGACACATTCATGTGCTAATCCTCACCATCACAATGGGGTTCAGGATTTTCCCTTTCTCTTGCTGTCATGGCTCAAGCTGGCAACACAAACACTGTGTGGCAATGTTGGTGGAGGCTGCAAATGCCGTCTTTCATCCAGGCTGTGATTCCATATTCACCCTGCTGCACTGCTAAGCTACACTCTGAAGTACTCAGTTGGTCCTCTGCTGCTGTTAGTTATTCATGCTGTCCTCAGGTTGTACCTAGGGTACTGTCTGAGCAGAACAAGCAAGGTCTTAACACTTGTTTAAATAAATAAATGAATAAATAAATAAAACCCATCCAACACACTCCTTGGTGAGGAGGAAAAAGAAAACAGAAATGAAACAGACCTGTCTGCACTCCTGGTCTGAGCAAGGAGAGAAGGGAATGAACAGTGGAGAGTCAACTGGTTTTCATACATTCTTTCCTTTTTAATGATCTGCAATGATCCCACATAAAACACTGCAAATCACTTCCTTTTATTCCTTCTTGCTGGAGTCACCAGTAAGAAAGGAAGACGAAAGGAAGGAAGGAAATGGCAGCAGCTGAGCAAAGTTTTTGGTCTGAAATGAAGCAAATAGAAGTCCTACTGAAAAAGGATGTTCATAGGTTGCAAGGGATGACCATGTACAATCCCATTTTCTGCAGCATGTTATTGCCTGTCTCAGGCCTTGAGCTTACTCTGAGAACCATGTACTCACAATTCAGAGTTACTGTGTTGACCTCAGTGCTCTGGACCTTGTAGTTAGTTCGATGACAAGATCAATCCAAACATTGCCCATGCTTTCTCAATTGTCTTTGAGGATCCCTGGATTGCATTTATTGCTGCTGACAGTTCCATAACACAAATACACTAGCTTAATTGCAGGTTTGCACGGTTCAGTTTTCTTTCTAAGCTTGGTTTGGGCATTAGTATTACTGTGACATTGCATTGTAACAGTTAAGTGTTGATACTTGCAGTAGTAGCATAGGAAAACCGAAATGTTGCATTCTATGCTGGACTATGCCTTCCTTGGTCCTGGTATTGTCCTGAGTGGCACACAGGGCCCTCAATGTCTACCTATAAGCAAAGCTGATATGGCATTTCTGTCATTTACTTCTATTTCTGGGGTCTATGCAATTACTACAGCAGAGCCTACAGCACTATCAAGCCACAGAAAAATCTCAAGGTTTGTACTGCCAGCGACACCACTCGGAGAAGTAACTTTGGAGGACTGATACCAGCATCTCCTCTGTTTTGAGTCACGCCATTTTGCCACCAGAAAGGGACTGTTTACCTGTCAGCTAAAGCTCAAATTATACAGGGCTTGTGGACCAAGAGTTTATTCAAGATTAAACCCAATGACTCTCCTATGTCTGTTTCTCAGATATCCTGGACTGGCTCCATCTCACAGCCCATATTTTGGAGATGACTGTTAGCTGTTGATAGGGATCTTGATTGGCACAAGGAATGGGCCAGTGTGAATGTCCTGGAGTTCCATAATGGCAGTCCTGTATTGCGATGCACTGACCCCTTGCAAAAGGACAGACTGGAGGGTCACTGGTGGG